TATAAAAACAATTATCAGTTCTATCGCAATTCACAAATTGTTTCCTTTTAAACAATTTGTTGTTTTTAATTTTAGAAAAAATGGTTGTTTACAATTTTAAATTCTGTTATGGAAACATCAATATTACAAACTTTAAAAAATGAGCCTTTCTTTAATACAAAAATATGGGATTTTTGATAAAAAATATTCAAAACTACTTTGATTGGAAAATAATTCGTCTTTTCAAAAAGAGTATTTAAACTTATAAAACTGGTATTTATATATGTGTGAACAAATGAGGAGGTGATATAAATAATGGCGAGAGAGTGTGGATTTGACATGGTGAGGAGAGGAAAGAGTGCGTGGATGGTTTTGACAATAACAAATAAAAAAATGTGGTTTAACATTTTGTGCCATAAACGTGTCGTGTTTGATACGTTACAACTTCAAAACAAATCAAGACTAAAGCGACTTTCCTTATTTAATTTAATCTAACTGGGCAGTCCATGTGCATCATATCAACGCGGTGAAAGCTGCGTTAGACTTATTCAATTAATTTGTTTTAGTTGTTTTTATTATATTTTAATAATTTGTAATAAAGTCAAAAATAACTTGAAAATGTTTTGTAATCGTAGTCTATTTATGATTTGTTTTTCGTCATTGTTTTCGTAACTTTCCTGAAAGAATACATAACCTGTGGCTAAACTATGATGTTTTTTTCCCAATAAAATAAGAAATAATTGATTTTCCTTCTAAAATATTCTTAAAGAGCTTTGGCAATGTTGTTGTCGTTGTTATTTTTTCTTTTTGTAAACGAAAAAACAATAACAAAAAAGACAAAATAAATAACATTTTTATTATTTTTACCATAAAAAAAAGAAGCGATTTTTCAAAAGAAGCGGTTTTTTAGCCCCCCTTTAATTATATTTTTTTAGTAATCTGTTTGATATTTTGTTGAAAAGAAAAACCAAATAAAAACAATTATTATTTATTTCGTTATGTAACTCCTTGGATATCCTCATTTTTCATGCAAAAACTATTTGTTTATAAATACTAATAAGTGAAATATTATATACAATTATTGTTCTTGACAATCATTTTATTATTTTTCATATTACAAGACACAACATTGAACAGGTTTATTTGGATAACACCACAACACTTTCATTAAAGTCAAATAAAAGCACCCATTAAATGCCAATTTTCAATTATTTAATAACAATAGTTGGTGTATAAGGTTCTACTGTTTATTGCTACACTTTCATTTTAAAAACAGCTTAAAATAAAACTTGACAAGTTTCAAGTGTGTAAATATATAACATCAAACAGAAAGCTTAAATGAAAATCGAAAAAATATCATAAGTTTTAACAATTTTGGGTTCTGACTTGTGGCTCACACACATGCACATTAAATATTAAATCGATTTCCCTGTCGTCGTAAAGTTAACAATAAAAAATACACATTTTTATTAAAATTACACTTCATTTTTTATTGTTTGAGTTTATCATTGTAATAAGTAACATGAAACAACATGTGGTACATTCACAACATGTCATTATAATTACGATTTGTAAATAAAAAATAAAATGTTAAATACACTTAACACACTCTAAGTTTTTTAATTCATATTAAATTGACATTGATATTATAATATATTTACAGTAAAAGTGGGTTTGACAATCATCGTTTATATATAATATATATTAATTGATGATTTTAATTATGTTTGTTGTTTGTAGTGGATTGCTTTTTGTATTAAAAATTAAACAATTCAATTCAAAAAAGTTTATTTTTCCCAATTTAAAAACATTTTAGTTTATTTTAACGTTTTACCAAAAATTATTTTTGCCAAATTAAAAATTTAAATTCCAATTAAGGAATAACTTAACCAAATTATACCAAAAACTATTTTATTCGACAATTATTTTTTTCTTGCTAAAAATTTACTAATAATACCAGTTTGATCTCTAAATACCGAAAAGCAAAAATTGGAGACGCTTGATCAGAAGTATAAGTTAGGTAAAGGTTAAATATCACAATAATTGAATACTCAAACTATATTATTATTAATAAATAAATAAATAAATAAATAACAATTTTTTAAAAAAATTCTTTTTACTTGAAATTATCATATATTTTTAAAACAATAATTCTTTATATTGTTTACACATATTCCATTTGAATAATTCCAACAAAAAAAACAACTGTTAAAATCATAATGTCCACAATTGACGGTTATCATATCATGATAGTTTCAAAGTACTTTGCAACAATCAATGATTTCATTAATTTGGAATTTGTATGCAAAAAATTTAACAGTAATATGGAGAAATTTCATTTCAACCCGATTCCATTAACTTGCAAAACAATTAGATTTTTCTTGAACATTGAGACTCTTCATTTATGGAATAAAAACGATGAAACTTTTGGCAATCTATTATTTGTCAAAACAGCGTTCGATGAAGACGATGGTAACAATGAAAAACATGGAGATATAAACAAAAACAAAGAAACTGTTGTGACAAAAGTGTTTTATGAAATCATTGTGTGGTTCAATGTTAATTATGACACCGTCGTCAAAAACGATGGTCAAAACATAAAGTTCAAAGATATTGCTTACACCCAAACCGATCGAATGAAATTTGGTGATAACATACCAAATTGTGTCACACTTATTAGTCATAGCTGTTTCCGTGATTGTAGTTTGAACAGCATAACAATACCATCAAGTGTCACATTATTTGGTCAGAGATGTTTCCAAGAATGTAGATACTTGGAAAGTATTGATATCCCATCAAATGTGAATTATATTGCTCAGTGTTGTTTTTGTGGATGTGATAGTCTAAGTAGTGTGACAATACCATTAAGTATAACATCATTAAATCAGTATTGTTTCTACGAATGCAGTAGTCTAAGCAGTGTGACTATACCAACAAACGTGAATACTATTCATAATAATTGTTTCGATGGATGTAACAATTTAAGCAACATTATAATACCATCTAGTGTCACATTTATTGGTAATTATTGTTTCCATCAATGCGCCAGTCTGAGAAGTGTTATAATACCACCATCTGTAACATTTATTAGTAAGAGGTGTTTCGATGAATGTATTAATTTGAGCAACATAGAAATACCATCAAGTGTCACATCATTAGGCGAATGTTGTTTCTATGGATGTAGCAATCTGAGCAATATAGAAATACTATCAAGTGTCACTTCAATAGGCAACGGTTGTTTTTGTGAATGTGAAAATTTGAAAAGTGTTTATGTTCCATTAAGTGTCACGTTTATAAGTGCTTACTGTTTCCCCCAAAAAACAGTCGTTCGTCGAAGATGCGACAATACCAACAAGTGTTGCATTAATTAATTCGTTTTGTAACAAATACAGTCGTACGTGGCGAGTAATTTAAATAATCAATTTTTTCATTTTTTATAACAAAAAATGATAAAATAAAGTGTATATCTTTATATTCATTTATATATAATTTTAAAATAGGTATATTTATTTGCAATTTATATTTTTTTTATAAGTTTAATACAATTAAGTGTTTATTATATTAATGATTAATTTTACTTATTATAACAGTAAATTGTGATACTGTTTAAAACAATATTTAACAATTAAACTAATTAATGTTTAATAAAAGTTTAGATGATATGAAAAGAGTAATTTTTAAATAATATACACATAATAATAATATAAGTTTATTTTTATTGACTAAATTAATTACTAGCATTTGAATGAACAAACAAATAGTTGTTCAAAAAACATCTTTTAATGAAAAATTTCATATCACTGATGAATAAGTTTATAACTAGTTGTTAATAAAAGCAAACTTTTTTAAGAAGTGGCCATTTGTTGATTATTAAACAAAAAAAACGTATATTTGTCGGTTTAAAATGGAAACTTGTTGTAAATTATTCACGTTTTAATTTATAATTTTATTAAATCAATTTTTACATATAAAACTTTATATAAAAAACTTATATCATCAAAAACAAAATTCTTGAATAAATAAATTAAAAACCAATCAAACTAATGTTTTGAGTGATTTGATAGTGTCATTAATAATACACCGTTCTTGGGGTTCTTGTTTCCAACACTTTTCAATAACATTTTGATATTTTATGTCGAGTGTTTTTATAGTACATGGTCTCTTTCCAGAAGCTACGTCATCTGCTATAGTCCACGGGTGCATGTATATATTTTTGGGATATGCATTTTCCCATAAGAAGCATTCGAACATTGTTATAGCGAATGAATAGACATCTGCAGCTTTCTTGTAATGTTGTTTATTTAACACTTCGGGTGCCATATATATATATATATATATATATATATATATTGGAGTCCCAATACCATTAGTGAATGTCATGTTGGTCATCATCATATTAACATTTCTTGCACTTCCAAATTCGGTCAGTTTTGCGTTGACTTTATCGTTTAAATATAAAGAAAACACAAGTAAATTGTCTGGTTTAATATCTCTGTGTAAAATCCCGTTTTCATGTAAATATGAAATACCATTTGCGTCATCCAACACAATTTTAACACGAAGTTTTATGTTAATTTCATTTTTTATTTTATGTTTCATCAAGTCTTGTAAACTCCCAAATTGTGAAAATTCGGTGACTAAACACACCTTATTAGGTATAAAAACTGCTCCATAAAAGTGGACAATATATTCATTTCTAAATTTGTCTAACATCTCAACTTCCTTCTCAAACGCATTGTTTAATGTGTCTTCATTTCCACCAATTTTCATCTTCTTAATTACAACAATATTGTCTCTAAAAGTTCCTTTAAACACAACACCGAACGAGCCTTCACCAAGTTTAGTGTCTTCTTGTAACTCGTCTGGATCAAGTCGCGTTGTCAATTTTGAAGTTGCTGCTATTTTTATTTCTTTTAAAACATCTTTTCTTTTTGTAAATAAATTTGAAACCAATATGATATTTTCATCAATTTTAGTTGTGCATTTTAATGTCAACAGAATTTCAAATTCACACGCTTCACCACTTGGTAATACTATTATTTTTGGATTTGAGTCGAATTTATATTTCTCAATTGTTGCACTTTTGGTCGTGATTTGAATTTTCATGTTGTGCTTTGAAGTGTTGCCAACACACAAAAGTTCTCTTTGTTGTGAGTTGACATCAATTTCCTCGCCAAAAAAAAACTTCCGTTTTGTTCACAACGACATCATCATTAATTGGTATAAAACTAATGTTCGAACGACTCATTTTGAAGAGTGTTGTTGTTTGCTCAATTTCTTTTTGTTGCATTTTCTTTTCAATAAACAACACAACACACGATATTAATGTTATTACAATTGTTAAGACAAAAAGTGCAAACAAAATGACTATAAAAAGTACCCACCAAACTACCTTCTTGTTACAATATGTCCCACTTTTGTTAGGAGAGTGCCAGAATGTGCATTTGGAACATTTTGAGTTTAAAACTTGGAGACATTTTGATACAAATGAAATATCAATACAAAGTCCACTTTCATATAAAATCATGTTGTTAACACAAGATGTGCATTTCCAGTATTGTGTGCATGTTGTGCAGTTGTTGTTACATTTTTCACACTCGTTGTAATAAATTGTGTAATACCCATCTTTACATTTGTTACACCCATTTTGTGTGATTTCAACAACACACTCAATGATACTGTTTTGTGGCAAACAAATTCCACTTGTTGTTTTGTAATTCGTCAAATTGCATGCCAAACATTTATCTTTTGTGTTACAAGTTGAGCAATTTGAAAGACACTTTAAGCAATTACAGTCATACCAACTCTGTAATACCCGTCTTTGCATTGATAACACCCACTTGTAATTGTTGATACATTGTCACATTTATTTAACAGTTCAGTGCTTGGTTGGCATTGATAAATATCACTTTGGTAAAATCCAGACTTACATGATAGACACTTTGTGTCACTTTCATGGCAACTGGTGCAATTTTCAGAACACAAATAACAACGGGCATTTGACAGGTAATACCCAACTGCACACGAAATGCACCCATATCTATAATATGTTACACAAACGGTTGTTGAAGTATCGTTTGTAATATTTACACAAGTTCTGTTAATATTAAGAATGTATTTATTTTCACATTCAACACATTTATTGTTCACAATATACACGCATTTGTCTTTTGCTAAAATACACATCCCATTCTGTTCAGTAAACGTTTCATTCTGACAAATAAAATATTCACACTTTTTCTCATAAGTAATTGTATAATTCACTTCACATGAAATTGTGTTGTGTTTATCGCAATTCAAGGAATTTTCAAATTTGGATAAACACGTGTTGCAAACACCATTGTCTATGTAAAACATATCATTGCAACCAATTATCAAAACTTTATTTGAAACCACATCTGTCTTTTTAACACATAAAGTTTCATTGTTTAAAATAAAGTTATTGTTACAAATAAAACACAAATTATAACCACATAAAGTACAGTTTGATGCACAGCTCTCACATTTGTTATATAAATTACCCGCATGACATTTTATACAAACACTTCCATCACTGTATTGACATTTGGTATCAAACACACATTCGTTATTATTTTTAATATATCCGTTCTGACATTTGTAACAATTTGTTATTGTGCCATAAAAACATGTTTCAGAAGAAATACACTTGGAATTATCGTTTAAAACATACACACTTTTGCATAATACACACTTGTTGTTTTTGTTGTATGTCCCACAGTTTAAAACAAGAGGAAAACACTCTCCATTGTCATTCAAAAATTCAGAGTGACAAACAACACATGTTACTTTATTCTTAGTCACTTTAACAAGAAAGCAATTGCTAATTACATTATTATCACTAACTTTTTCTAATAATATAAAAGTCTTCCCATTTTCACTAAAATCAATTGAATAAATTTGACTTAAAGTCGTGTTTTTAGAAATTACAATGTTTGTATTTTCATAAAAAACGAGTGATTTGATGTTTCCAATACAATCAATTTGCAATTTTGTGTTATTTTTTTTATATAAATTGAAGTTGTAAGTTGAATCATAATTACAAGTTATTGTGTTCAATGAAGTTGAATACAAAAATGAAGCATCTACCATATCAAACTCCTTGACTACACTGGTTCTAACTTTTCCAAAAGTAAATGAAATTACCAAGTCTTTATAATATGTTAATAATACCAATTTTTATTATCAAAAAGAGTGATTTGTTTCACACTTTCAGAGAAATAAAGTGAAATGTTATTATCAACCAACAATTCAGTGTTACTTAGATTGTTATCGAACATATTAAACATTTTAATATCACTAATAAACTTGAGTTTGCAATTTACATTAATATCGTCATTACACGGACAATGTGGATAATCAAAAGCATTTTCCATGTTTGTTGGTGAGTTTGGTGTGTACATTAGTTTCTTTAAAGTACAAACAACGTCTTTGTCAAGTGGAGTACCTTGTGGGCAAAATCGTATTAATTTTTTATTAGAAATCAAGTACCCTTTCCCATTTGTAAAATTATACAAATATTCAAACATGTCTGAAATGATGTGATCAAAATTGGCAACAGTCCCTAAATTAGATGCACTATTCAACGAAATTGCATCAAAACATTTGGTGTTTCCTGTTGGATTGACAATTTCAAAATTTGGTCTATCTTCCACGTTATAATTGAGATGAATATACATCGAATTCCACATGACAATTTGTGGGAAGTTCAATTTTGGATCATTTAAAAGAAGGTCTCCAGCTATAGACAAACCAGCATAATTAATATTTAAAATCATATTTATTGTTGCATTTGGTTCAATAACAAATGTCTTGTTGATATGCAAATTTGTCATCAATAATATATTAACATTTATGTTTATCGTCAGACTTTGTGTGATATACCAAATTGATTGACTTGTAGAAGACAATTTCATGTTATTTAAAAGAATTATTTTATTTAATAATGTAAGTTTATTGCTTAATCCAAAGTCTGAATTAAAACATATCGAAGATGTTTTGATATTACAATCTGAAGGTGTTAGACCCATGGTGTCATTGATTCCAGATGGGTAACAGTCGCATTGATATTCACTTGTTGTCAAAACAATAAAAAGAGAGAAGATAAATTGCATTTATAACACTAATTTGTTGTCAGATTGTGTTTTGAGAGTTAAAATATTAATATTTTTAGTTTATTATACAGTATGGTCATTAAACCTTATGTGAAACCTTGAGGCTTATGCGATTTTTTAGAATAATTTTTAGTATTATTATTATTATAAAAAACCATACAAAAATAAATCAAATCATAAGTTATTTTGGGTTTTTCAGTTAAATCAAAAAACATTCATTTTATGTAAGAGATAACACCAAAGTTTATCGAAACAATCAAGAACAAGGCGAGAACTGGTCAGTATGAAATAGAGTTTAAACAGTTGTCAACAAAAAACACGAGAAAAAAATCATTAACCAAATCTGAAATGAAAGACAATATAAACGAGATGTTCAAAGCGGGAAAATTCAAAACAAAACTTAAAGTAAAAGCATTTGAATTATTAAAGTGTCTTTCTGATGATATTTTCCTAGCCAATGATATGGTCCAACAAATTCAACAAATCAACAAGTTCCACAAGAAGCCATATGGTTCAGAAGGAGCGATCGGTGCATTATTTGGCCTTCCTGGTGGTGCTATACATATCCATATCAATCAAGAGAGTGAACAACCTCAACACCATTGCAATTTTACAACAGAGATGGATTTGGGAATACAGGAAGTGTTCAAGTATTGTGACTCCAATGATAAGGCAGTAACATCGTATTTGATTGAACTCTTGTGCAGAGCTTTTGATGACCATTTCGATGTCAAACGAAAAGGTATCATCAGACACATTGAAACGGTTCATAAACGTGTCACAGTTGTTGCGAAGCCAGAAGAAGTAGTGAGACTTCAATGTGATTCAAAGAATGTCGTTGCCAATTTCGAGACCTTTGTCGACAATTTTAATAGCGTTGATGCACAACTTTGTTTCAATGTTGACGAAATTGGCTTTAGTGAACACGCAGACTCTGGAAACGTAAGTGTATTTGCCAAAAGAAAAACTTCCAAAGTCAAAGTCGGTGTTTCAAGATCTTCAAAACGCAGCACGATGTTGGGTTGTATCAATGCACAAGGCTCTCTTATATGCCCAGCAATAGTTATTCCAGTCCAAAATTTCAATTGTAGCTTCTCAGTCGACTTTCCAGATGTTGCTGTTTACTACACGAACAGTGGCTTCGTAAACCGATACACCTTCAAAACGTGGATGCCGACCAAGTTGTTGCCTCATATCATTGACACCAGAAAGAAAATGAGTATTCCTGAAGAAAAATCCGTAATAATTATGGATGATTTCGGTGCACACGTTGACCAAGAAATGAAAACCGTTTTTGAATCGAACAATGTGTTTTTTTATTTCATTGTACCACATTCGAGTCACTTGGTGCAGCCACTTGACTTGTGCCTTTTTGGTTCCATCAAAAAGGCTTTGCGTAATTCAACTCCAATGTTTATGAGCAAACAAAGTACGCAAAAACAACAATTGAGTGCTCACATTCATCGTCGACAAATTTCGCATTTAGAATATCTTCAATCGCGGCAGAAGTCGAAACTTTCAATAACTTACAACCACAAATTGAGCAATGGATCAAGCAGCTAGACGATCCAATTAGTTCATCTGGTTTGATCAATGAACGAGCTGAGTGGGGAAGTAAGATGACCAGTGTCATGAAAAAAAATAATGAGAGAAGTTTATAAAAGATCTGATATTGAAACAGTCAGAAGCAGTTTTAGGAGAGCCGGTTTCGTGGTAGTGGTGAGAGACAAAAGACCCAGAGTTTATGTTGATATACTATCAGCCAAAGTATTCCTGTCAACTTTAAATGTTATGCCAGAACAACGAGTAATGGAGAAACTGAGAGCACCAGAAAACATGATGTTTAGAAACAAAGCAATTGTATGCAATGAAGAAGTTGTAGAAGAAGCTGTCAACAGATGGAGAAACCATGATCAAATACCAAAAAGACAAGAAGGAGAGAGATCAATGCAATGTGGAGAACGCAGCGAAGAAATTCCTCTTTGTGACAGAATTATAATGGAAATGGATTTCTGTGATAAAGATGGAGTATTAAGACCAATGACGATAGAGGAAATGAAACAAAGAGAAGAGGAGGAGATGAATTTTGTCGTTGGTGATAATTAAATCATTTTGATTTATTTTTTAATTTGATAATAGAACACATTTTTAAATCATTCAGTCTCTCCACCATTCAGTCTCTTAATCATTCAGTCTCTTCTTCTTAATTTTTTGTTTTTATTCAGTTTTAGTTGTTTATATTTTTTTTCAAACAATGATTATTTAGTTTATTTTAGTTCAACTTTTGTTGATTTTTATTTTGTTAAATTTTCTTCTTATTTTTTACAAATCAATCTTTTTTATTTTTGTAATCGCATAAGGCTCATAGTTTATTTTCTTTGTTTTTTGTATAAAACCGTGTTTTTTGCCTTTTTAATAATAAAAGTATTGATTTTTTTTCTATCATTTATAGTTTTTTATATTTAGAAAATCGCATAAGGTTGCGGGTATCACATAAGGGTGAATACCACATCTGTAAATGTTTTTAAACAAATAAAATATGATAAAATTATCATTTTATAAATAAATTAATAACCAAAATCTTTTTTATTAATGTAACTTATGTACAAAGTTATATAAAAGTTACAATATATATCATTAAAACATTTTTTTTTGTTTTTGTGCATGGGTCGGCACAATCCTAATTTTCAAAATTAACAAGAAAAAAACAAAATTTGTGGCAATTTAATTGAAAAAATACCATTATTTTTATGAAAAAAACAATTTTGTTGATAATTGAGCAAAAAATCGGGTTATGAAAATATTGATAAATAAATAAAAGACTTTCTATTTTAAAAAAAAACAATGTGTTTTTTAAAGGCTAAACAAAATACAAAATGTTTATATTTTAATTGTGTTTTATACTTGTTTTCGTTTTTTGGTCACGAGTAAATTGCTTAAAAAAACAATATGGGGTGCAAACT